TGGGACGGCCACCGGGCCTGGCTTCACCAGGCCCCGCCCCAACTTGGGGGACCCGCCCAGACCCCACCCCCAGGGACCCCCTGCCTAGAAGTTTCCGGAAGGCACAGCTAATGAGCCAGACGCAAGCCCACGTCTGCTGTGTGGTTCCAAGGCTGCGCTGTCTGCATACAGGAGGCGCTCAATACGTGTCTGGGCCTTTCTCTCCCCACATGGGACCTAGAAAGACCAGTGTTCCCATCAGTAGACCTGGGGAGGGGGATGTCTTCGTGGGGGGGCTCTTAAGGGTGGGCCGTTCCTGGGCTCCTGACAGCGCACACACATCGTCAAAGCCTCTGAGGCCTCGTGGGTCCAAGGCTCGTGGCCCCAACGAAAGGACGTTCAGGGCAGAAACCATGGGTTTCTGAGGGCTGCCAGAGTACAAATCTGGGGGATCTCAGGGAGGGGAGTGGGCCGGTGTGGGGTGCGGGGCGGGGCTCCTGCATGCCCCGCCCACCCGGGAAGGCGGGGCTTGGGCTGGCCTCCCACTTCCCCTCCCCTGCTCGCTCTGTTCACAGGGCTCCAAGCAGACACAGCACAGGGCCTTTGCACTGGCTGGTGCCTCTGTCTGGAACCCCATCCCCCACAAGGCTGGCTCCTTATTTTTCAGGTGTCTCCTTAGCCGTGCCCTCCTCAGAGAGGTCTCCCGAGCCCCCTGGCTCTCTGCCGGCCACCCCAGCAGGTTTTCTCACTTGGAGGTCACCTTCTGGACTTAGGTATTGGTTTTGTGTTCTCTAAGACGGACATTCCCCGAGTCAGGGAGCTCGTCTGTCCCTGGCACTGCTGTGTCCCCAGCACCCAGAACATGGTAGGAGCGCAGCAAATGTTTGTTGAGTGAAACCCGTGTCCCAAGAGGGGACATTGGACCAGCCAGGAGCCTTTCCAGGCCTCGGTTTTCTCTCCTGCGCACATGGGTAGCAATGGTACCGGCCCAAGAGGGAGGCCCTGCCTGAGCCCCGGGCGCGGTCACAGACGCCCCACCTGGGCCTGGGGGAACCTGTGCTTCCCCGGGCAGAGTGCCCACCAGGGGTCCCCAGGGAAATGGAGGGGTGCAGGAATCTGGGGGTGCAAGGTCTCTGGGGGGATTTTCTGGGGCGTCGCAGAGCTGAAGGCCTAGTCTCCCAGACCCAGAGAGGGAGCCCGGACCCACCCCCGGCCTCGGCCCCCTCCCCACGTAGGGGTCTGCACAGCACTCAGGGGACCGGAGGCCCAGGGTTGCCAGAGAGGGGCTCACTGCGGCGACCCCGTCCCACACAGCCCCCTGCCAGGAGTGGAGGCTTCATATGCAGCTCTAAATAACGGCGGAGGCCACGCCTCACCCCTGTAATCTCCACTGACTAGACCCAACCCTCCTCCCCCAGCCCCTGCCCTGGGTGGCCCCCCTGGATGGGGGTCTCCGTCTGTGATGGGTGAGGCTGCCTTGGCCCTTCCCGTGGACGGTATCTCAGCCCCTGTGACCCCCTCCCATTCTGCAGAAGGGGATCAAGGCCCAGAGAGGGGAAGGGCCTTCTCAGGTCACACGGCAGGGACAGAGGCTGGAGGGAGACGGGGCAGCAGGGCTGTCCTTAGGGGGGCAGGGCTAGCGGGGTGGGGTCCTTGGGGCCACCTGGGGAGCAGACCTCCACAGAAATGGGGGAGTGTTAGGCGGCACTCCGTCACTTTGACAAGAGGGGAAACCGAGTCACGGAGGAGTGCCCGGGGTCACGTGTCAGGCGTGGCGGGCCCTGGATTTTGGTGCCCTTGGCCTTGATCTGGGAGGTTGCAGGTGCAGCGACCCTGTCCGGCGGGGCCTGGGCGGGAGCCGCTATCACCCCGCAAATGACATCTCTGTGTGGACTTCATGTCCACCCCGTGTCTCTGGGGTCCCGGGAAGAAAGGGCAGCCCATGTGCTGCCTCCTGGGTCTGAGCCGGGTCCTCCCCACCCACTCGCATCCCTCCTGGCCCCCAACCCCAGGGCCAGCTGCCCCTCCGTGTGTCCGCAGAGAAGGTCCTGCTGACCCAGCAGCCGGCCTCGCTGGAGCCTCTGGGCCCAGAGGCAAGAACAGAGCCCATGGCTCCCTCCCTCCCCCTGCGCCTTGGTCCTGCCCTGGGAAGGCCTCCCGCATGTGCCTCGCTTCCTGCCCGGGACTGTGCGTACTGCCGGTCGGGGTGGGGGCTCATCAAGCCCCCAAGATGGGTTTCAGGGCATCCTGGAGCCCGGGGTGCCCAGAACACTCTGTGGGCCATACTTGTAAACTTGGGTCATGTCCCCAGGGCCCAGCAGCTCGTAACCCACGGGCAGGGCTGCGGCGGGAGGACTGGGGTCTCAGCCCCTCCTCCCACCCACTGTGCCACAGACCTCGCACCCTGCCTCGTGCAGGCTGGGACCTCCCTCCCTCTGAGGCTGCTTTGGCTCCCATTCGCCCCCCCAAGCCTCTAGAGCTTCGGCTGTTGGGGCCCTCCTGCCCCGGGCCCCCCTCCCCTGCCCCCCCTGGGGCCCTGCCATTGTGCTGGTCCACCTGGGGGTCTCCTCCTAGCCCTCCCACCCCAAGGCCGGGGTTTCAGAGTCTGCACTCACGAGGTCTCCCAGGTGGGCCGGAAACGCTGATGAAGACGGATGGCGCGAATGTGGCCCATTACGTTGTTAATAAAGAATATCACACACACACCTTAATCTGCAGCCGGCCTGACACTTTACAAAGTACATTAGGATGTAATCCAATTGAAGCCGCAATATCGAGAACATCTTATCTTATCACAAATTGAAATTATATCATATTCCTCTTTCCTTAAATTAAAAAGCTAAAACCTTTCCGTTTGTTCTCACACGGTTGTGTAAAACTTAATCAGTGGTTTTAACAACATTACATTTCCATATGGGCCATTTCTATTCTCATTTCTTTATGAGGGAGAACTTTCTAGAAAGGGGTGACTGCATCAGTGGGTGGGGGCTGGTGCCTGGCGTGGTGGCTGGGGTCAGGGGTGAGGCTCCGGAGGGACAGGGCCGGCCTTTGCGTTTGTGTCACAGGAGACAGGGACGATGGGTTTGGGGTTCCGAGTGTCCTGGGGCTGTGGAACAGAGCGCCAGCTTGGGCGCTTCAGACAAGCGAGACTGACCCTCTGCCAGTTCCAAGGCCAGAGGTCCGAACTCAAGGTGTCAGGGCCGCGCTCCCTCCCAGGGCTCCAGGGGACGGTCCTTCCCGCCTCGTCCAGCTCCTGGTGGCCGCCGGCAATCCTGGGCGATCCTGGGCCAGTGGCCGCGTCACCCCAACCTCTGCCTCCGTGGCCACGTGGCCTCCTCCCTGCGTGTGTGTCCGTGTTCCCTCTTCTGTGAGGACACTAGTCCCTGGACTGCGGCCCTCCCTGCCCCAGCGTGACCTCAACTTAACCATCATGTCTGCAGAGTCCCT